TTGCGTTCCACCAAATGCCTTCGGTTCCGGGATCTTAACCTTGGAACGTTCTTCACTGCCCTAGCCAGAAGCAACCAAAGTCCTTCGAAGAACAACAATTTCTAGGTTAAGAGTTTCATTTCCTTTTTCAAATCTTCAACCTGAACATTCGTGGCCTCACACATTTGTTGAATAGTTTCACGAAACTGATTCAACCCTGCCTTTAGACGATAGATCTCAGTAATTAGATCTTTCAAATCCAAAGGATCGTCAATCACATCAATCAGCGCCTCCAACTTCTTCCCACGATCACACAAGTTTGAAGTGGAATTTCCTCCGGCCATGGTCCCAAATCACGAGCAAAGTTCTGATATCAGTTGTTACAGGGCTAATTCTTTGTAGACGATACTGCACAGCAGTAGCCTGACACTCAAGTCACTCAGCCTTACCTTTTTTCTCATAGTTTAGGACTTAGAATATTTTCAGACTTGTAAAACGAAAGCAACACACACAATTACGGGTAAACACCCAACCTTTTATTACTCTCGCAGAATATACAAAGGAATTCAATTGGACGGCTCACACATGCTTTCTTCCTTAGCCAACGAAATACAAAACATATAAAGGGACTACCAATAGTAGGTTACAAGGGGAGCGGTTACAAAAGGGTAGTTACATGGGTGTGCCTGGCATGTGCCAAGCCTATAAACAAGCACAAAACACTTAGCCACTATCTGACGCACTTCCCACGAAATGAGCCCATCTTCAGCACTTCAAGCCAACTGTCATATGTGCACTGCACATGGCTTAACTTCCACAGCACATGCACAACACACTTCTTTGCAGTCACATGTTTCGCACACTTGTTCCACAGCTTCGCCCAAACTTTGTCTTAGCTTGCCTTGCTTTGTCTTTTGGACCATGCCTCACACATATAGCTCATGACAATGTTCTTGTCACAGCCTTGCCGTCCCACTGATCCGCACGCTTTCCTTAGCCAAGTGCCATGCGTCTGCCTTCATTTGCCATAGTCGTCGCCCACAACCAAGGTTGTCTTGTCATCACTCAAGGCACCTTGTCCAGTTGACCTGCCAAGTCCATGCACTAACTTAAGCACGCTCCCAGCTCCGCACATTGCTTGCCAACGCCCACACGAACCCATGCCAAGGGACAATGTACAAGCCCTTGACATTGGTTCTGCCCGACATTCGTCATGTCTCAACATTAGGGGCTAACACTTACCTATCCTGAGTATTTACAGCTAATAAACGGTTAATCTTAAGAACTAGTAAATTAATTAAAGTGGAAAAATATACTTAAATCTAGATGACACATTTTGCTTATTGAGAGTCAATTTGACAAAATTTTGAAGCTAAATTTGATTAGTTTAACTCAGTATTTTAAAATTAAAATATAAATATTCAAAAACTATACTAAAAGTATTGTAAGTTGTAATTTTTCTCATGTCAATACGATAAATAAAATTTTTAAATGTTGATCAAACTTCATACAATTTGATTCTCGATAAGTGAAATATGTCATCTAAATTAAAAAACTTATGTCATCTAAATTAAAATAGATGAAGTATTATTTAACCATGGATAGATGAAGTATTATTTAACCATGGATAAATGTTAAGAAGTGCATATATAGTTTATCGAGAATTGAGCGGGGTAACATTTTGTCACACGAGCCGAAATAAGAGGCATTTCTTCCATCAATTAAGGTTGATGCTAGTGATATAAAACCAAACTCACGACAAAACTAAAACTTCTTTGTGTGAATATTGACTGCTTTATTTTTGCTGTTTTTGTTTTTCCACTCGTGCAACCATTTTTGCACTTTAGTTAGTTTTTTGGAGTAGTTAATTAGGTATAATTTAATGAACTATAGTGATTATAATTAGAAAACACTATTGTCTTTCAAGTTTTAAGCACCAAATAGTCCCGCATAAAAACAAAACTAAATTCACTATAGTCAACATTAACGACAACATGATAAGTTTTGGTGACCTTTTCCCCAATTTTCCTGGAATTAGAGGGTTATGTCCAAAGGTTAAAAAAGGGAGTTTTTTGTTATCTAAAATACGGGCAGTATGATTGTTACTAGCGTTTAAACAAAAAGTAAGACCGTAAGTCAAAATAATCGGTTGGTTGACATGCACCAATTGTAATGCTTATGGCCCACATATCCTTTCACTAATAAAAATAAATTTCTCTATTTATTTTTTTTGACAAAGTCTATTGAGATAAGTGAATTTAGACAATTTAGAGTATTCAAATTGGCCCATATAATTAGGAATTAGCCATTTCCAAATCCAATCCGCCTAAACTTGAAGGAGTTGAAAATTATACTTTTATGTACTAAATTTAATGCCACTAATGGTACTCTGGACCAATGTCATGAATCTTGAAAGTAGAAGGTCCTAGACGAAAGGGATTAAGTTCCATCTAAATTTTTCCTAGTAGATTGTGGACGAGAAGGAAGACGGTGGTAACTATCCTTGATCGGTAGTAGAACGACAGAGGCGAATACATGATTTATATATTATGAGTTTAATTTTAGGATTCTATCACATGCCATTTCATTTATAGAATCTAAAATCTATTAGTTGTACTTATTTATATACTCTAATACTCTAAAATATGAGTGTAGAGTCTTCATTTTCTCCCACAGGCCACGGGGTAAAAGTTGACTTGGACAAGTAATTGCAACTTAGATTATACAGCACAGATTTGTAAGATAGTGTTCAGGGTAGGGGTAAGGTCTGCGTACACACTACCCTCCCCTAACCTCACTAGTGGGATTATACTGGGTTGTTGTTGTTCTTGTTCATTGAGAGAAGTTCATTTGTAGCCACTAGGGCCAAATTTTTATCACCTGATAGCCACAAAATAACCCATACAAGTCATAGCCTAAAATCAATAACAAAGGCTAGCAACTGAAAGTTTTGAAACCATACGCTCAACGCAAATCAAAAGGAAATCACTCCTAATCGATTTTGTATCCTAAATTCATGCCTTAATTATGGAATCTTCAACCCCCAAGAAGTATAAAAGTCGCCTAATTATTCACATTGTCAATTAAATTCTAGGGGTTCGGAAGAGTAAACCTAGAGCAGAGCTCCAAAAATGTCATGCTGAAATTCTCAATTTTTGCACAATTGCGGCCTACAATCAGCTTAATAGAATTGAGATTAGAAATTGATACAAAATCGACAAACTCAATTAATGTCTATGGAGATTGTGAATGTTGGAACTACTATTCTAATTTTGATTTCGATTTTACTTCAACACAGTGGTGAGTGGGTAAGTGAGAGTAAATTTATTAATTTTCTTGTTAATGGCGTGTTGATCAATTCGGACTGTAGCTATGAGTATTTTGTTGATGAGATATACAAGCAATTGGGTAGAGATTCAATTACAAGTGCGATGGAGATAAAATATACAATGAAGGATGGCTATGTAGCAATTCCAATATACAATGATATGAGTGTGTGCTTGTATATGGAGATGAAAAAGAAAAACTTCGATATCACTGAATATCCATTATGCATAACGTTGAAAACGGTGTGTTCAAATGCCGAATGCTCATATTCAAGTTCATACTTGGGTGGTAACTTACTCGGAACAACTTCAGCTGGTTTACAATATTAGAACGTAGAAGAAGTACACAGAACTGATATTGTTGAGATGATGAATAACCATGGAAAAGAAGACAAAATTGAGATAATAAAGGGAAATTGTATAATAGACAATCCATAACATGAAAAAATTGCAGAAGGTCAGTTATATTGGGACAAAGATGCACTCATTAGTGTAATAAAGCACAACGCAATACGAGAAAAATGTCAATTTATAGTGGATAGATCATCTACAACAAGGTATGATTTCTATGTATGAGATTGCACTTCTCTGTAAGTTTGTGTATACTGCTTGTATAAAAAATATATAATTATTGTATAATGAGATTGCATATGTATACTGCTTGTTTATTTGAGACACAAGTGTAAAAATAGGTATTGTATATCTGAAAAAGTGCATTATCATAACACTATATTTTAAATAGGTATTGTCTTATATGCGTGGATAAAAGTTGCAAATGAAGTCTTAGATCTTCAAGTCTACACAAATCAAATGTCTTCAAGGTTAGACAGTTCAATGATGTTCACACTTTCCCAAAGACGAGTAGACTATTTTCACAACGTCATGCTACTTCATCAGCCATTGCAAAGATGATTTGCAACAAATATGCCAATCCAAAAATAATATACACTCCGGCAGACATCATGAGCGACATGAAAAAATAATATGGGATTAATATGAGTTATGTAAAAGCTTATAGAACAAAAGAAAAGGCGCTTGAACTGCTAAGAGGGATACTACGCAAATCTTATAGTAAACTGCTGGGTCACTTGTATATGACAAATCCTGGTTCTGTCACAATGTTACATAAATCAAATGACGGACGCTTCATGTATGTTTTTGTCGCACTAAATGCATCAATCATAGGATGGAAATACTGCTACCCTATTGTAGTGGTTGACGGGACATTCCTTAAATCATCACACAGGGGGACAATGTTAACAGCTAGCGCACAAGATGCGGCAGGTGAATATGTCGCAGTCTCGTATAATAATTATATATGGTATAGATAGTTGTTATTCGTGTATAACAAAAATAACATGTGAATACTTTCTTATTTGCTTAACCAGATAAAACTTTTTCACTAGCATATGTTGTTGTCGATTCTAAAAATAATGCTTCCTAGGAATGGTTTTTTGAAATGTTTAGACAGGCTTTTGGGGAAAGGGAAAGGATGTGCATCATATCCGATCGTCATGCAAGCATATTGAGGGGTGCTTCGATTGTGTATCCGGAGGTATCTCACTGTGTATGCATCTTCCATCTTTGGAGTAACATAAAAAGCAGTTCAAGAAGAACCATGACCGGCTGAGGGAAGTATTTTTTGCAATGTCCAGAGCATACAAAATTGAAGATTTTAATTGCCTTATGCAAGAGATGGACAGGATTGACAAGAGGGTAAGGGGTTACTTGTTCCAAGTTGGTTATGAAAAGTGGTCCATAGTGCATTCCACTGTTAATATATCCATGGTGATGACTTCAAATATTGACGAGTCACTCAATGCAAGAAACAAAGAGGCAAGAGAGCTACCAATCATGAGTTTGCTAGATTACATGATGAATTTGGTTATGGAATGGAATAATATAAATAGAATGACTGCAATGAGTACAGTTACTGGCCTAGGAAAAAAATATAACGAAGTACTGAAGGAAAATAGCAGTTTGTTGCAGAAGATGACGGTAAATATTTCTTTATCATGTATTACTTCATACGCCTAAATAACATACTTTAATAAAAGTGCATTAATACTTATCATATCCTTATTTTACTAATGATATCTATTTAAATTTAGGTGAGGCCTTCAACCGATTATGTATATGTAGTAACGGATGCTGAACAAAGGTGGAACATAGTCTGCATGCAAAAAAGGGATTTCAAGTGGATGAGATTCCTTATCCACATGCTATGGCAGTATTAGACTACACACACATAGAAGCACCCAAATATTATTCTGCCTATTACACCAAGGAATACTTCAAGAAGACATATGAAGTGTCAGTTAATCTACTTCCAGATGAAACTACATGGGACCTTCCAACAGAGGTGTTAGATAATGTGGTCCTACCACCGATAGTGAAGGGCAAATCAGGAAGACTGATGAAGTCGCGACGCAAGGGACTTTATGAATATTTGTATACTGAAACAGCTACCTGTGCACTGTATGGAAAACAAGGACACAACAAAAGAACATGTAGGAATGCTCGAGACAACTAGTAGATATTGCTACAATGATTTAGCATTTTGTAACTCTTTTCCTTGTGAATGTTACAATTAGAATATTGGAAAAATAATGAGATTTGCAATCAAATTCTCTCTGATGTATAAAGATACTACTTTTTGTCGTAATGAAAGTATTAGTAGAAGTTTTATTCCAAATACTATTATGGATGTCACTATATAGATGTCAATATACAAAATATATACAAAAAAAGACTGTCACTATAAACTATACAAAATAGACTATCACTATACAATTTATATATAAGACTGTCACTATATAAAAAATATACAAAATAGGATTTGTATATTTATACAAAAGAAAAATAGACCGTCACTATTGTATATACAATTTACATACAATAGACTATTATGGATGCCACTATATAGATGTCAATATACAAAATATATACAAAAAAACTCACTATAAAAAAATTATATAAAAACTATACAAAATAGACTGTCACTATACAATTTATATACAATAGATTGTCACTATATAAAAATATACAAAATAAACTGTGACTATACAAAAAATATATAAAGTATATGTCACTATAAAAAAAATATACAAAATAAAATTTGTATATTTATACAAAAAAAAACAAAAATAGATCGTCACTATTGTATATATAATTTACATACAATAGACTGTGTTGTACAAAAAAATACAAAATAGATGTCACTATACAAAATATATACAAAAACGACTGTAACTATACAANAAGTTGCAATTAAAAGTAATATTCAACATTAGCATTTCAAACATATTGTTCAAAAATATCCCAAATAAAAAGCATAAAGCGTGATATAGGTATGCAACTGTATCCAATCATAAAACAATATCAGAACCAAACTACTTCATCTTAAAACTACATGTCAATTTTCCTCTAAACTATCCCAACCTACTTCATCTTGCCCTTCAACTTGCCCTTTTTCTTGATATCCTTCAAAGTCTTGTCATTACCAACGGTATGTGTCTTGCCCTTTTTCTTGTTATCCTTCAAAGCCTTGTCATTACCAACGGCATGCGACTTGCCATTTTTCTTGTTATCCTTTTCTGTCAGATCCTTCAATCTACCAGTAGACTCGTCATTACTAACAGCATGTGCTCTTTGTTTCTTCACTCTATAATCCCATAGCAATATACCATATCGGTTCCGTATCACATCAATATCAATAGCTTTAGGAATACTGTTGCCTTGAATGATGAATTCAACAAAGGCAGCAACATAAATACCACACTCACTACATACAAGGTCGCACATAAACGTTGAATAAGTTAGTATAATAGGAACTCATGTACAAAAATGAATTAAGAATCAGAAATATAATTTATGTGTTATCTTGCGTTGGCAACCCATCAACGACATGAATCTCAAAAGGATCAATGGCGGGAATTTCCATATGATTCTCCTTTGTATCCCAAAAACCAATACGATGAAGGAAATATGGGAGCAACACTGAGTATGGCTTAATTGATCTCTGCACTGCACTATTTTGCCGCGCGCCACTCATGGAATCGTATACATAAATGCGCATATCTTTGAATGACAGTCTCGCCAATATCCAATTCCACTTATCAGACAGATTTAAAGGAAAAATGACTTCATCAACAATACACCAATGAACATTACATCTTAAAAAATATCCAAGTACATACTTAACAATTGGATTTGTTTCAGTAATCAAATTCATGTCTCTGTTTTTTTCCAAAAAATCCTTGTACAAATTCGAAATCAAGCAGTTAAACCAACAGTCTGTAGTTGTGAATCTTACTAGAACATCAACACCGTACTTCCCTTTCTTTCTCAAATAGTAAAAAATAACATCAATATGCTGAAATATGAAGAATAAACACACATAGTCAGAAAATTACATTATGAAAAAATTACAATGTATATTTTATGCATAAACCGATTATATATTTTACAGAAGATACTGCAAATATACATAAAAGATACTATCCAAGTTGATACTATGGTTTCTATTGCCATTATTGTTTTAGTCCTTTCTTCTGGCTACTATCCAAGGGTTGCCGAGTCTCATTTCTCATTTTATTACAGATAGAATCTATAAATAATTACAACATGGATAAAAGAAAAGAAAGGCCATTTATGATAACAAATTAACATCAATATGCTGAAAATATGAAGAACCATTATAATGTTGACTTACTGAATCACACTGGGGTAGGCCGGGATATGCAAATGTGAAGAACCATTTTTTTTCTCCAATATCATCAACTCCAAATTCAAAGATTTTATTTAGCTTATTGCTAAACTCTCTATAAACACCGCCTCTGATAAATCATGATAAAGAGATATGGTTCATTACACGAAATACGAAAAATAAATAAGGAAAAAAAAGAAAAAGAAAAAATTGAAACATAAAACTTGCGGTGCATTAGTCCTTACGCCTCTATTGATGAAAGTGTTCCACTTACACGATATTCTGAAATCAACAGGATTGTTAATATTTTCCTGAAAAGGATACTTTATAGTGAAGATGGACTTATTTGACTTATTTGTCAAGATGGGCTTCTTTGACTTAGTTGGCTTATTTTGAGCAACTTGGATGGTGCCACAAGAGTCAAATATGTTCCTGAATGGTGAGCTCATGACCCCTGTTGATTTCCTTTCTCTAGGGATCAATTCAGGTGTGTCATGATCAACAACAACTATACGATCTTCCTACATAGTAGCAATATTTTTCTACACTCCTAAACAATCACCATATATAATATTTTGATCAAAATACTTTTGGGTGATTGCAGTTATTTGAGCCTCAGCATCACTAGTCCACCCATTGTCCTCACCAACTTCCTCACAACTATATTTACCAACAACTTGTACAGAATCCTCCACCAAACCCCCCATATTAGCAGTATTTTTCTTAACTTCTATAATATTAAGTACACTATCACCATCTACATCATTTTTGTCACAACACTTCTGGGTAATTTCAGTGATTCCAGGCTCGGCATCCTCAATCATGGCTTCGTCATCACCAACTCCTCACTACTTTTACCAGCTTCTATAGAATCCTTCACCACACCTTCCATAACATCAACAGTTTGCTCTAGACTTACCTCAGTGCCAACTTTTTTCTTTACAGCTTCCTCACTGCCAATATTTTTCTCCATAACTTCCTCTCTACCAAAATTATTCTCTGCAACTTCCATATCGCCAAAATAATCATTATGAATATCACCAGCATCATGATGGCCATGACTATCATGATGGTCATCATCTTTTCTATTACCCTGTTTAGAAAAAATATACAAAAAGTTGTAAAGCTTATAATAACAGGAAAAAATAACAAATAAGCATAGTCATGAGAATACATTTGAAGCGCCGCGTTCATCTAAAGCTTTAAAAACTTTTTCAAATGAGAAAATCATTAACTGCTCCAAAGACGAAACCTTGTCTTTTACCTATAAAAGAAAAAGTGAAACCGAATATAAATTAAGTCAGAACTGCTCAAAGCCAAAATAGAACTGACCTTGTTGATTTCACTTCTCAGAAGTTTCAGCTCATTCTCTCTTGAAGTCAAGTTACGGGGCTGTGGATCCGCATTCTCACTATTTATAGGTTGTGATTCCATCTTATTTTTGGGGTACTTCTTAGCATTTTTTAGGTCGAGTGTTGAAATCATCAACATCTTCTCTTGGATTAACTCCAGCTACGACTCTAGATTCGATATACATCTCATTTTCATCTTCATACACCGGGACAAAATCATGCAATTCAAGCCTTGTTTGTTCAACATTTGTTGGGGCAATGTTACCAAACACCAACTACAAATAAAAAAAAACTTAGCAATCATGAAATTTAAATAAAATAATAAAAGATAACCAATATATTACTTGTAGAAACTACACATCATACAGTTAATTGATATTATGTATATTAAAGGTATAAATTATGTATCAGAACTGTATAATTTATGTATCAGAAATGTATAATTTATGTTTCAGAAGTATATAATTTATGTATCAGAAGTAAATTCATATGTATTTCTACAAAATGTTATAAACTAAACAAAAATATTTTTTACCTGCTCCCGACTTAAAAGAAAAAATTCTTTCCTCAACCTCTTGAAGGTCACCTTCTTCTTTACAGTCCAGTTTAGTATGCGTGGCACAAGATCTCCAATCCGGTAAGCGATGTTTTTGCGAGTATATGGGCATCATTCATAAAACCAATACTGGAATGCCAAAGGCAAACAACCATATCAGTACATCTCTCTCCTACTACAAACCCTATCTTTCATTGACTCCAACGTAGCTTTGAAACCCACATTTCCCCAAGGCAAAGTCTCAAAATCACCAGATTCAACCAACAGAAAATCATTTTTTGTTATGAAATCATCATTCGTAATAGAAAATAGAAAACTGTTCCTGATTAATCACTATAATATTTCAATTTTCCACGGGAGCGAAGCATGGAAAATGGTCACTTTGTTTTAACACAAGACTACATACATGTACAGTTCTTCAGATTCTTATGTAAATTATTCTCTCAATACAACATGAACAATCAACCAAGCAACTATGACTCAATCCCCCATAATAAAAATTTTGTATCATTATGCTATACACGACATGGTATTGCTACTTAGTATCAACTGTGAACTTCTCAACAGTAAAACAAGGATGATTCTTGAAAAATAACTTGTCTTTCTGCATCTTATGCTTATAATTGTTTAAACTGAAGTTCATATTTTTTCTGCACTTATGCTTTTTTACTACATGGTGTGTTTTATACTTCGGGGGTATTTAGTCATGTATTTAATTGGTCAAACATGTCATTTAATTCACTGAGCATTTCACTAATAATTGGCAGTTTTATGAAATGGAAATTGCAAGCCTAGTTTGTTAACCTGTTTATATGATTATGGTTCTGAAACAATAAAGTCTAGTATGGGTTTATACTTTATACTTTATACACAACAAAGCCAGTTACCATAGCACCAAAACATACTTGAAATGGAGG